TTTCCCGATACAGCATTTGGTCTACTATTATTAATTTTGATATTCGGCTTCCCTCACATATGAAACAAAGGAAAATACCATGGCTTGGATAAGATACATCTTAATCTTTAAGATCTTTGCCCTGTAGCACTTTGGAGAGATAGATCATTGACAGTACATTCACCCAGTGCAACGCAACTTTTGATTTCTTGACTGCTGTGACTGTGGATATTGATTGTGGATTCAAGTAAAATGAAACCATTAAAAAATCATTGCCAACATTAATCTTCATCTATCATGATGTTACGTGTGGATCCAATGTTTTTTTTTTTTTTTTTGTTAAGGTGTAATATATATTGAAGACTTCAGTCTTTGATCTTCCCTAAATCTGCTTCAAGTCTTTACTTCCTGGAAGCAAGCTCGTGCCATCTGCACAACACAGGTTGTTGATAAATGTTGTGACATTGCCAGATACTCTGGTGGGTTCCCCCCCTCCATTAAAATAGATGTTTGTATGCCTAACTTTACAACTAAGATTACATGGGCTTGCTGTTGTTAGGTGCCTTTGAGTAAATTCCAAATCACAGCAGCCCTATCACAGTCATTGATAGATTTGAGCCCATTGTCTGATTGATTGCCTTCCAACCTTAAGGAAGGCCATCTTCTGTTACTATACCAGAGAATGCTCCAGTGTCATTCAGAAGCTTTTCACTGGCCTGCTTTTTCCCCCGACATAGATCAGTTACTAGGTTCTTCTATTTAGTTTTAGTTGGGAAGCTCTGCTGAAACCTGTTCACCATGGAAGACCTTGCTGATGCTTGGAATTCCAGTGACCTGGCTTCCAGTGTCACTGCATCATGAAGTTACCACAGTAAACAAGCTGGACAGGTGACAGCTAGATAAAGACAGAACTAGGATTCCGAATCATGCTTGCTTATCCTTGAAATGTTCTTTCCTTGAGTTAGCCATTTCCCTCAGAGAAGACAGCACTTTCCTCATAGCCCACAAATAGGTAGATTCTAAAGCCTTTCTCTTCCATCTGATTACTGCCTACATATAAATACTACTTCCACCAGAACTTGTTATTATTATGTGCCATTGAGTTGCCTGAGATTATAGTGATCCTATGTACAACATCTCTGAACCTTGTTCTATCTTGAGCCAATTGCTTTGTCTCTGACACACCTACCTACTCTCATTACTCCAGTCACTGCGTCAATCCATCTCAGGCAGGGTCTTCCAGGCAGGGTCTTCCACTCTTGTGCTGTATACATGTACAATTTGTATACATTGTGTTTCATGCTGTCCTTCATTCCCATTGTGTTTTATTAACTTAATCTCTATTGGCTCATGCTCACCATTACCCCATTTTTTCAGGTGCCGAATGGATCTTTCCCATTTCCTTTACCACCTAACAACAGTCTGCTTAATCATGAGAGACTTTCTTTGCACACGAGGTGTTAAAAAAATGGCAATTTAGGCGAGCTCTGGTGGCCTAGTGGCAGGAAACTGCACTGCAATCCCAGAAGTGCACGGTTCAAATCCACCAGATGCTCTGCTGAAGAAGGAGGAACAGTCGCCTCCTGTACCAGTCAGATCCAATTTGACGGCACACGCATAAGAAAAAAAAAAAAAAGAAAAAGAAAAAAAGAAAAAAATGGCAAATTTATTGGCAAAATTTAGGTTCAATTTGTTAAAACAGACGGGTGATTATAAAAGCAAAATAGCATTGTTGTTTTTAAAGTGCTGTGGAGTGGACTGCAACTCAGCGATCCTATAAATATCAGCACCTTGCCATCAAGATCTCTGCTTAAAAGCTGATATAATTTTAAGATTGTTATGTTTTGGCAATGATTTCCTGACGATTAAAAAAATGTTATATTAACGGGGAGTATTTTGGAAAAATCATCCATTTCTTATTTTTCAATCTTTCTGTCGAACAATTGCTTAGTTTCTACTTGAGCCCTTCCTCATTCCCGTCCCAGAGATAATTTTCTTTTTTTTTTTTTTAAATTTTTATTCTTCTGTGTGTGTGTGTGTGTGTGTGTGTGTGTGTGTACCGTCAAATCGGATCTTACTGCTACAGGAGGAGATTGTCCCTCCTTCTCCGGCATAGCATCTGGTGGATTCGAACCATATACTTCTGAGATTGCAATGCAGCTTTTTTGCCACTAGGCCACCAGAGGTCCCCTGGCCCAGAAATCTTTTCTATACTTGGGTAGCTCCTATTTAGTGTCTTGTAAATGGTAAGAAGCTGCCCTATAATACGTGGTTCAAATTCACCAGTATATAGAATCCACTCCGTGGGAGGATGGGCATTCTCTTCCGGGGCGATTTACTGCCACCGACAATTTACTCCTATGACAGGAGGGCACCTAACAACAGTCTACGTAGTCTGTATAGTACTGGTCTGTATGAAGCTGTGCTCCTAACGCAAAGACAGCGCCTCTCTGGTGGTTTGAATCCATCAGCAGCTCCAGGGGCGTGAGACTGGCGGTTTCCTCCCACGTGATTCACAGCCGCCCCGCTAGGAACGTAGAGGAATGAAAGATGAGACCAGAAGAAGTGGCAAACCAGTATAGAGTGCAGCCCAATTTAATAATTTAGTAGTCAATTTGAGAATCTCCTGGTCTCACAGGATGTAAAATGCAGGTCACTTTACAATCCTAGCGAAATCAACGAACACCCTGACCCATAAATTGATAGATGGAGAAGCGAAGGATAGTACGCTTTATTCTCCAAGATGGCCACTCTGTCACGTGGCCCAGGGGGCGGGGCAGCAACCCTAGCGGAAGACACACTATAGGTCACATGGGGGAGGCGCGGCTCTGGGGGCGTGACACAAGCCTCTATACTCATTCTATAGGTTGCCTGCGAATGAAGGGCGTGGCTAAAGAGTCCCGTGCTGGTTATGGATCACGTGGCCCTGAGGGGCGGTGCCCCGAGGGGGCGTGACCGCAACCCGACCTGAGCGGTCAGAGCAGAGGCTCCTCACGGGCCACGCCCCGGGACCCTAGAGGCTGGAGTGCGGCGGATGGGGTGGAGCCTTCGTCGTGACCTTTCACCCCAGCATGGCTGCGCCCGTGGGACCCGTGAAGTTCTGGCGGCCCGGTAAGTCCCTGGGTGGAACACTAGGGAGGCGGCCGCTTGACTTTGTTCTCGGACCCACGACTGCTGCCCTGGTGCCTGCGGACCTGCCTGCACGGTGGCCTCGGTGGACTAGGGACCACGGCTTCGCTGCTGGTGGACCCTCTATGGCTCAGGCTCGCTAGTGGTCCCGAGGGACTCGGGTGGTCCACCCCCCCCCCCGACCCTTGGCAGCAACTCTCTTTGTGACCTTGTTTGAGTGTCGTAACGTCCCTGGACCCCGTGTCACTCGTTCTTGACGAGTGACGAAGTGGACAGCGCTTGGAGCTTATTAAAGAGCCCCGCGTGCCCTCTTGGCGCCCGGGTCCGCGCTGCGGCTCGGGGCGGGGTGGGGGCGGTGGTGCTGCTCAGGGTGGAGACGGAATTTTTGGTTCCGCCTTGCAGTAGCAGAGTGATCTTGCCATTGAACCCTTCTGAACTTGACCTCTTCACGCTTAGCATCGAATTGAAAAACCCAAGACGCAAGCCCGTTGGTGGTGAAGTTCAACTCTTAGCAACCCGATGTAACAGACTGTACCTTTATGGTTTTCGAGGCTAGATCTTTGGGGAAGCCGACTTGCAGTCTTTTTGGGTTGCTAGCTTTAATTCGCACTTAATTAACTTTAATGCAATTAACTGCCTCTGAAAACCGGCTTGGGGGGTGGGGGTGGCTCAGCTAAGGGTCAGGTCCGACTCAGGGGTACACACAACCACCACCATTTAATTTAGCAGCCAGACATTTCAATCACTGTGCTTTTCAGAAAATTAGATAAAGCCAGACCAGGAGTTCATTCTGGCAGCCAGCTTGTAGGATGGAGTGGAATGTCCGCCGCCAACCCCTAGGGTTTCTCCTAGGAGGTAAATCCTTTTTTTTTCTTAAGTGACTAAGAAATTCATTAATTTAAAAGTTAAGGATATTCTCCAATTACAAAGTTGAGGCTGTCTTTGTTTAAAATAAAATTTAAATTGTGTGTGTTTTTTAACTAATGTTTACAGAGAAGTTGGGTTTTCATCATTCATGGTTGCATATTTGACCCCGTCTCCTCTTCCACCCCCCTCCCCCCCCCCCCCCCCCCCCCCCCCCCCCCCCCCCCCCCAGTGTACCTTGGAGGCAAGGATTCTGGGGCTTCGTCTGACA